TAGAAGCGAAAGGATCAATGTTGCTTGTCTTCCAACGGCGGTAGGACAATTCATTGTAATTAGCAGCAGTGAGCTTAATGTCGTCTTTGTTAATACCCAAAGCGGTAATTAGAGTTTGTACGCCAGAAGAATGTCCGAAATAGGCAACAACATTTGGTAGACTATCAGTATTTAAATGATTCAGCATATCCTTAACAGCGCGGCAGTTAAGACGTGTGTTACCCTCAAAACCGTAGCCTAATTTGTAGTAGTACTTCAAATCGTCCTCATACTCGAAAATCGTAACCTGCTCAGGAGTGAAAGCCTGCAAATGAATAAATTTTTGATCAATTCTAGTTGAATGTGTGGATGTAGTAAAAACTTACCGCACACCAAACAGAGGTGCGATCAACTTGCCAAGCCTGTTCGTAACGGCACATATCATACATGAGGTCAACATCACTTGCTTCCAATGTATACTGGAAGCTATAAAGAAATTATGTCAATACGACGTTTCACATAAATTGTTGTAGTAGTGCCGAGTAAGACTTACCCCAAACGTTTAGAGACTTCATCGAGCGTATTATTCCATATGGTTGAATTTCTGAATTTGCCTGTTTCTGACGTGGAACTGCTATAATCATGTGCTTTCCATGATTCACAATAGTCATAAGGACGTAATAGTAAGTCATCACCTTGCACTTGTTCTTCCTGAGCACCGTTGTTAGCACCAAAAAGTCCTTCAGTGAAAGCTTTGAAACTTTCTGTAGTTCTTTGTGTATCAGTATGACGAAACTGCAAGAATTTGATGAATATTTTATATTTAAATTTAAAAATTTCCATAAATTAATTAAAATTTTTGTTGTTGTGGTTTTCATTTCTATTCGAACCCTTCTAACTTTCAAATAGTTTCTCTTTGTCATAAGACGCCTCACTGTCGGTAAGAAAAAATTAACGTTAAAAAAATTTTTTTTAATTATTTAATAAGAATACATGAAATAACTGTCGTACTGTAAGAAATGAAAGCCTTCAATACATAAATTACATACGCAATAAAGAGTAATATAATAAATATGGAGTGATCATTATGGACAGGCAACAAATCTATCATTTGGAAGTTATATCCATTTCACCCTGCAGGATTATATTTACTAACTGTTGAGCTTTCTCTCCTTTTCACACTGTCTCCTAGTTCCATCTTCTAGAGTAAGATGACAAAAAGAAGCCCCTTACGTTTTGACTCCATTTTTGTTTTTTGTTTCCTTAGTGCTAACTTGTATTAGAACACAACTATTCAAATTCCTAATTACAAATGCTTTGAGAGTAAATATGCAATATAAATGCACACTTTAGCCTCCTTCCATATGAAATCTTAAGTTTGTAGTGTATTGCGATGCTTCAGACCCCACTTTAGATTTCTATCGAAAGAAACCTTCTTATAGTGAGAAGTGGCAGTAGCTTACAGCCACCACAACTAACTTTTGTTGCTTAAAATGGACAAAAGGCAAGCGATGCAATATAATAGAGCATTTCTGCCTCAACAATAGACAAATTATAATCGGAAAGAGTGAAAAGTATACATCCACAGGCATATATTTTATTTTCATACATCATTTTAAAAACAAATACTTACCAAATACACCGATTTATTGTATGGCTTGGTTAAGATTTCAGGATAATATTTTTGATAGAGTTTTGATGTACCTCTGAGATCTTCGTAGCCCTGAAATTAAAAATAAAATTTTTAAATAATTATTTCTAATTAAAAAAAAAATAATAATAGACATGTTTTTATGTTTCTTACATATATATAATATTTATATTAATATGTATATATACATAGGACTTCGCCAGTCAAATTTTTAATGTTTTGCATATCTAAACAATATCAATAAGCGTAACACCGTATTGCTTATTTGCTTATCAGAACTAAGTCACTATCATAGAAAATTTATATCAGATGAAGTTGCATACGTAGTCATACAACAAATGGCTACGCTACGCCGTTGATAGAGTAGTCATGAACTATAATACTTTTCTCCATATATCCTCATACTAACCAGTAGCAGTTAATCTAATATATGCATTTTTTCTCCAAAAATTTAAAATAAATTAAAAAAACTGGATTAATCAAGTCATCTCTTAAGCTTCTGATAACTAAAAAATTTAACAATTCAAGTATGACCGTATGAATCTTACTTCAATTATCAACGAAATTGATGGTATACAAAATTTAGCATGTCCACCCATAATCTGAGCTATTAGGTTATCCCACAAGAAGATCCTTAATGTCCTAACACCCATGATGAATAGATCCGAATATTGAAAAACCGAATATTATAAGCTTACGACCACAAAACCTATGCGTTAGTTAAAATAAAATTAGCACTAAATTTACCCCACAAAAGCAATATCATCCCATGGGTGACATTTACAAGAATTTCATTATGATTCTATCCTTAAGAGAGGCATAAACTACACGATCTTTGTCGAACTCTTTTTAAACCGCAATCTTCATGGGTGGCTGATGTTAGTACAGTTATTTACTCGGAGGGATTAAAGTCCGTTTAATTGGGAAAACAAGTCTAAACAAATCTTCTCTCCAATCGGGGTCCCGTAGTTTCTAAAAAATTAAGCCTATAATTCTAATACATTTCACTACAATTTATTATATTCTATTATATTTATAGAATATATTCCATTCTATTATAGCAATTAGATATTTATTATATATATTGCAATTTATTATTTTTAAAATAAATTAAACCCTTAACTGTAGACTTAATAAAACACATTAAGTCCATAAAATGTTTGCAGTGATTTGAATGTTCCAGAGTAACGGTGTGTGAAGAACCCTTTTAAGAAAGACGTATGCTAGATTTGTTTTGTGTATATTACAAGAAAGTCGATAACGTCTTTAGTTTGACAAATTCTATTTATATATTCATTTATATAATTTATGTTATTCTCAAGTTTGACAAGTGTAAATTAATTGAAGTCATATAAAAACCACTTGAGATAATTGATTTTCTAAAAATTATTGATGACGTTCGGCGAGGTACTTTTTGAATAACTGGAAATTCTATCAATCACACGAGACGTAGTCTTATCTTTCACTCAAAGCGTTTCGTATATATTACGAGTGATACAAATATATCTTATGTACTTGTCACTGTCTTTTGACAACTTCCGTGACGTCAGCATATTGAAGGGTAAAATAAAAAAAAATCACTGTAATCTATTAAACAATTTATTACTGTTGACAAATCATATCATTTATAAAATAAAAACAATTATTGTTAGTAAAACATAATACTATGAACTAAACAAAAACACTTCTCACGCTGAACCTGTCCATACAAATAATTTTAATCAATCATTATCGGAATAAAACACGATCAAATGCTTTCAAAAAACTTAAGTGAACTATCAGTACTTGTTAATTGAAAGTCATTAGGTACTACGACAAATAAAGGCCTAAATATTAAAAACATTTAGAAATGAATTAAGTTCTTAAAAACATTGTAAATCAGAAAATCCGATAAGACAAAAATAGTTGAAAAAAAGATAACGTTTTACGCAGATAATTTCGGCTCCTATTTATTAGTAGTGGATTTTTCTCATGTACTCAAGTAGATCTACTTTAAAGATATACGTGGAATACGTCAGTAAAATCAATTTACCCGAAAGGTGTCTAAAAATGAAAGGAAGTGGAATTAAATCGTCTTTTATTTAATATTCACATTTCTCAAAAGATAAATTATCAAGTTATTAATAGGAAAATGGACTTGCTGTAACTTAAAAACACTAACTGCCTCACTTCCGGCCAAATAGACATTAACCTTATTTAATAAATTTTGTGACAAGAAAGAGGTAAATAATCCCTAAATAGATTGTCAAAAAAATGTAAAAAAAAAATATAAAATAAAATGAATAATTGTACTCCAGAACTTTTGAGATCCAGAGATCAATCCTTGGAGAATGCCTTATAGGCTAAGCTTTAAAAATTAAAGCTATTGATAAAACTACTAGTAAGTCCAACATACCATAAGGACTCTATAATTCAGGTGGTTCTTTTATTATTATGGTACTTAAAAGGAGAATAATGCACTGCGACCTATAAGATCTATGTCGGCTTTATGAAAGCCAACCAGACCAAATATATCTTAATATATTTCACTCCGCGCTTCGCAGACTCTGTATATCTCAGTAACCTTTCATTAGATCTTTGATAATAATAACGAATAATGGAGTAGCGATTCTATTTAAGAATGCATCTATAATATTTAAATAAGTTTACCTGACTGGTTAAGTAGTTCTCTTGATCAGGTGTAATACTGGTATTCCACTTCCACATTTGCAATGCAATCAAATCTTCCTGACAAAGCGCATTAGTAGCCGGTTTCGTTTTGAAAACACGATAGTTTTTCACAATTGAGTCTCGTAACTGAAAATTAATAATTTTAAATTATTAAATTTAGTTTTTACATAAATATAAATAAAATAATACAATATAATACAATATATAATACAATATTATACAATTTTTTTTATACCTCCTCTAGCCTGGGAGCCTTTTCAATGGTGCTTTTGGAAGGCAATCTTGTTCCATGTCTATGCAAGATCCAGATTTTCTTTGCTGTGCAGCCTAAATTTTAAGAAATGCAAAATATTTATTGATTAAATTATTATTTTTAATACTATTAATTTAATTTAATTTAATTAATTTAATTTTATTTAAGGAAAGAAATCAATGCCTAAAATATCTAATGTCTAAAAAGTAACTTCTTTATCGCCTGTGAACCCAAAATAAATCATTTTAAAACAACTTTCAAATTTTTCAGATATAAGAACATATATGAGAGAAGAATATTGCAAGATAATTCAGAAAAGATAATTTAGAATTCCGATCTTTAAAGCGTCATCGTCAGAAAATTTGGAGTCAAATTTGGATATCTATGAAATGAGCTTCTACAGACATAGTTAAGTACTTTAAAGTTTTTAAATAGTTTTCGATGATAGCTAGCGATAGCTCAACTATAATATAATGGATGTCCATCGTCGAAACGCTAAGAGTTTAAGGATTGTACGCCTAAGCACGATACCTTGCGTAACTCCACAAAAACTTTAACTGACGAAAAATCACGTGATCATTTATTTTCATCCAAACCATTTTATTTGAACACCCAATAAGCGTATGTTCTACTCATTCTATGATACATATTATAAAATGCCAAACCTTGCACTAGATATTATAATATTCTTGGATTGCAGTTTTGATCGACTTACGTCAACAAAACCCTATATGGATAACCCCATATAATACAGAGGTATATATTTTTCATGACAATTCCACTGATAAATTACAATATATATTCTGTGAATATAATTTTTCTTACCGGGTACATCATAAAATGAATCAAAATTTGTTCCTTTAATAATTTGATATGCTGTCTTCGAAGTAAAATGCCTTGTTTGCGGTCTTTCTGTGTCTTTTCCAAAGCAATAGTCGTCGCCAAGGACTTGCGATTGCAGAACCGCTAGTAAGGTCGTAAGCAGCAATAACTTCATAACTAAAAGGAATAGAAGAAATATATTATATAAAAAATTTTATTAAATAATTGCTTAAAATAAATTTCTTTAAGAATTTGCAAAATTAATTATAATTTTGAACACGTTAATTTATAGGCATATTTTTTATTAATTATTATGCCAGTCACGGAGACTTATTTTATTCCAAATTTTTATTGAGTTTTTATTAATAAAATATGGTAGTACCTTCTATTAATTTTTGCACGCATAGTGACAAAAATATTTTATAGATAAAATCTGCAAAAGAATATAATGAAATTATTTTAAAAAACTTCCTATTTTAATTTTAACTTTCGACACTATATGTACATATAAAGCCTTAACTTTCATTGTTTATGGCTATATGTTATTGTGCTGCTTGACGACAGAAGCGAACCCTTAACACTCTATTTATAAACTAAAAGTAATTTAATGTTATGTATATTATGTATTAAAGTAAGGTATATAAAGTACTCTGCAAACCGGGAGATCTATTGTACTACTATAAATAAAAAGTAACGCTATAAAATCTTATCCACACTCATTGATTTTAAAAACCCCAGAATATATTTAATATTACCAATGCTTTGTCTGATATTAAGTATATTCTTTGTAATTTCTTAATTTATACATCAATGGTAGCATTTACCTAGTATGTGCTGTGTGTCCGTCAGATTTTTTATAGTAACATAAGTTTTGTACAATATCTATGCTTCACAGGTGTTCATTAAACCTTAAACAGTGCACTTCTTTCTTATCCAATAACCAAGTAGGTATATTACACAGACGGTCAAATCATAACTCTCAATTTTGTGATATTAGTATAATTTTGAAACTTTTTGCTAGTGCCTGATTTGAAGAAAGGTTATATGATTACATCCAATAATATGTATATTAGTTGCTAAAAGGAACAAATTCTGATACTTAGTACTGATCAACACTATTTTAACTAAATTGACGATACATAGAAAGCCTCGTCAAGGAGAGCAGAGTGTAATCAAAATTACTCTATTGTTTCAATTTTCAGATTCTGCATTAACATTAAAAACAACAAGATCATGGTCTTAGAGATTTCAAAAAAAATTCAAAGTCAGTACTGTCTCCTTGATGCGACACAGATTCTATTCACACTTTAGTATCTATCATTGCCATGAAAATATCTTTTTGTGGTAAGTTCATCGACCTGCTTACATTTCTCTAATAAAGTTCAAGTTCTATCATTATAATGAAATCTACTTTAAAAGTGAATTCATCGACCTGCTTACACTTCTCTGCCAAAGGTTCAGATCCCTATCATTATTATGGAATCTTCTTTGTAGTGATTTCATCAACTTGTTCGTTTCCCTGGACCATCGCATCTGAAAGAAACTATCATGAGCTGACTATATTGTCCCCTTTCTAGCTGATTTAATTTTGTAGACAATACAATACAATTTTCAACCCAACGTCGTAGCGCATAGGCAGTGAACCTCTTAGCGTTCGAATGCCAGTTAGCAACGCTACGTCCTACTTTTCATATGGTACTCTACTATATACTAAGTGAATTGTTATTTTTAATTAAAGTACATTTTTCTAATAATGGCAGTGATTTTAGGAATAGTCTCAGCATAATGACTCATTTTATTTAAGAACTTAAAAAGTAGCAACAAACAAAATGAAAGGAGCGAAGTACGTTCCGATGTAAAAGCCTTAAGTACTTAGTTATTTTTAGTTCAGTCCAGGTCTCACCAAATTGGATTTATCATCAGATTAAAATATTTTTAATGATTTACTCATAATTTATTGCTTTTGTAAATAATAATGAGAATAATTTATTTAAGTTTGTCTATTAATTTTATATATTGTTAAAATTTTAATAAAATTTTGTTTTTTTTCCCCCTTTCGCCTGTAATCGCGTAAATTACTACCTGAAATGTTATGTTTGAGGATGTGATATAGCTATTCTTTTTTTGTTGTATGAAGTCATAACTTAAATTCAAATATGAGCTTACATATATTGTAGATATGTAAATAACTCTATCCATTCTTTTATAATTTTTACACCATATCCTTTTGTTATCATTTCCTTTATATGTCTTAACACTTTGTGACGTACCTCATCTATGCATTTTAATATGAAAATGATTTTGCCTACCCCAAACCGGAAGCACATTTCCTTTACGAGAAATCTCTAAGGTGTGTCTTCGGTGCGCAAAATTAAATCAAGAAGTTAAAATGCACGTAAAATTGTTAACAAAAAAACTGAAAAAAGAAAATGAAATAAAAACTCAAATAAGAGTTAGGAACTGAAACCTCCATAGGTGAGGAATATAACACAAAAAATATTAGGAGCAATAAAAAACGCAATCCTTGTAGAATAAATTAATGCCACTGGGCGGCATCGGAGTCAAGCCACATGCACCAGAGCAACAAACATTTTAAGGTGACCATAACGAGGAGGTTTCTTTTAGTAGAGGGCACTACATCAATATATATTTATATACTATTTTATTTCTTTAATGTTTTTATATTAAAATTAGGCTAATAGCATTCAACTGTTCAAAAACACATGTTTGCCATTAGGGCTAGATAATAACTTAAATAAAATTAAGGCACATCGGATAGGAAGGGAACGACTTTAATTTTGATTTAAATGAAATTGGGGAATTCCAACGGATTTAAGGCAAGGCTCTCAATTTGACGCTTCATTTCTTTCCTTTTGAAATTTTAGATTATAAACGTGGAAACGATTGCTTAATTATTTAATGGGTTGTTTTGGGAAACTTTTTCGGGTGATGAGAAATTAGTCAAATGAGTGAAAAACCAATGTTTTTAGATAAAAATAATGTTATAGATAAAACACGTTTAACACTATTGTTGTATAATATACAATATCTAAAATTTCGCAGCAGTGGGTAAGAATAGCGGAATTTTTATTTAGAATATAAGAAATGCAATTTAGTAACTTAATGTTACAATAATAGTCCTAAAGCTTTTTATTACTTACCGACATTTACTTCATGTCAAAGCCTATGTTTGAGGATGTGTTTGCTGCTTTGTATACCAAGTTGATTAAATTAGCCTACGTAATAAATAAGATTAAGTTGAAGTGCGGTGTACTTTTACACCAAAGTACACTTGAGCTCAAACAATACCCCTTTGGTATTCCACGGACTCGCATTGCTTGAAAAAAGACTAAAAAATCTTCAAAAGGACCTCAGTTGTTGGCGAACACCATTGAAAGACACGACTCCTCCATTTGATTAAAATTCCACACACCTGAAAACTCTATAAACTTTGCTGAGTTGCTAATTTTGAAGAATAACAGCTCTATCAGGTTGGATAAGAAAGGGAGCCCAAACGATTTTTAAACTTTTATTTGCCAAATTTGTTGCAAGTTTGCAAAACCAAAATCTTTTACTTCTCTTGTCAGTGAAACACAGATTCCTCCTCCTCTGCAGAGTCATAACTACGACAAACGTCAATATAGAGTAGACCAAGTGTCAATGTATTTCTTCCTAATACACAATGATGTGTCAGCACCAACTCCATAGTGCTGAAAGAGATTCCGCTTTTGTTAAAACAGTCCAATTTGCACCGAGTAAATCGTGAGATCTGACCAGAATTTTTATCTACTTAAGTTCATTTAGCTATATTTAGTTTAGCCGTTACAAATGTCATAGCATAATCCGAGAAATAAATATCATAATATCTAACAATTATTCAAGATAACCCCGTGTCTGCCTTGGTAAACTCTTCTGCTCATCAGTTATTCAATATAACCTGGTGTCTAAGTATATATGCTTAGGTATTATACTACTGTCAATACAAATATATTGCTTATAGGTTGTATAGACATCACACGACTCAAACAGCCCTTGAGTGATTTGCGAACCAACACCATATTTTTATAAAGATGTTCATAAATTCCTTTATTTTAAAATAAGTGTTCAGTAATCTACAGTAATATGTTATAGTGACAAACCATGAACCTATAAGGTCCACTTTTCTCTGAATAACTTTATTTGTGAAAGAAATGGTCACATTTGGTGTAAACAAAACCAAAAGACGACCCTATTCATCTATCCATGTACTCTGAAAATGGATGCACTATTTTTATGGACTGGTGACCTGTTTAGACCACACTGCTTTAAAAATAAAGTAAGTCGAAATATCAACTTAACTGGCTCATAGCACAATATCATGAATAATAATTTTTTACCATATATATGTTCTGGACGTCGTTTAAATTTAATGGAACTTCTTCACATATTACATTGCCAAAGAAATCAACACCACATTCAATCCCTACTTTGTCTCTATAAAAAAAGTTGTGGTGCCATTTTGCAGTAACACTGTAGCTCTGTGATTTATCTTATTTCGCTTCTGAACGGACTTTTGATGCACCTCCAATAACATTTATACTGACAGGCCAAACACATATTACAAAAAAAGTTGAATTTTTAAGAAACAAAAAAAAATCATATTCTCTAAAACTAAAGTCTAAAATTTTTTTATATCAAATATTGATTAATTATCATTTCTTAATCAATTTCTCTATTAAATATAAAGAATATTATCACTGGAATATTAAATTCAATTAAACTAAAGTCAATGCTCTCATTATGAGCATTGGTAATCAATTTCTTGGAACTAATAATTTCATATACTGAAAATTATCGTCAACGTCTTCAATGTCATCAATTTATTAATTTCGTATTAAGTTGTTTGTTTTGGGCCAATGTGCGCCTTCGAAGCACTTCCGAAGCAATTCGAGATACATTATGAAAAGGTTTAAGGGTTGAGATGCAATATACATTATTGTTTATTTATTTTTGTTTTTCTTTCCAATTATTGAATTAGTAAGTGACAAGAAAGTACAAATTTTTTATTGAAATTGAGAATTTATTCGTTAAGCCCCCCGCATTATTTCTACAAATTAATGTGGTCACAATTGATTTATGAAGTGAATGAAAGTGTTCTCGTACGTACACTCCCTAAAATTCATAATAAAAGCAATTTATTTGCCTTGTGCTTAAACAATTATTGTGTATAAATATATAAATTAGTAGCTTTCTACAATAAAAGGAAAGACAAACATATTTTTTCTGACTACAGAAATATATATATTAGAATATACATAATTATGTTTGTGTATAGAAATATATACAATTGTTCTAAAACATTTTTTTGTACGTGTGGTCATAAGATTATTATTTAAATTCACTCTTCAAATACTTTTTTAATTTTTA